AATTTTCTCTTCGTTTTTTTTTGCGTTCGTTTTGCCTTCCTTCAACTCCAGCTACAGTTCCACTCGGCAATACTGGCGATGCGACTGGCGACGCGCAGGGAAAACGGCAGGCAGGGAAAAACGCGACGGGAAAATTGAATTTAAATTCATGAAAACTGGAAGTTGCCAAGTTGGCTGCTAGCGGTACGCGCGTGCGACGTTCGTCGACTTTACAACGCCGTTTTGTGAGTTTGCCCAATTCTCGTTGGGAAACTACTATATGCAGATGTTGACCTGGTCCTTCAACTCACGCTTCAAACATACAATTCTGTCAAAATTTCGTAAACTCAGAGACTCAAGGAAATAGACTTGAATCTTTGTACCGTTGTAGATTTACAGATTTCCTTTGATCCAAAACACAACCCAAGTCTCAATGGATTCAATGCTGTACCAATAGATTTTCTCCTCTTTCAAGGAAAAAATTGGAATAATTTTTCGCCAAAAACAAATCCAAATCTAATTCCACCTCCAGTTGATTCCAATAAACTCCGGAAGCGAGTTGATGCACAAGTCGAAGTCGTCTTCATCGGTTCGGTTCCTATCCCACATCACACATCTCGCATGACGAGCACGTAGCGGCCGACGAAACGTCGCGCAATTTATACACACGTCGCCCTCCTACGGATAGATCGAATCGAATTGCACGAGAGCAGAGAGTAAATACACGTCGGGCACAGCGTACGTGTGTAAATACTATACCAGCAGAGACACTGGAATACGAGGAATGCATTTCCGGTCGTGTCTCGTCCGCTTGCTCCTTCTGCATCGACAATAACCAGTCGAACATATTGCACATTGCACATGCAGATGACACACAATTCTTCAACAACGAGTATTCGGGTGCTACTCAATTCCAGACATCTCTATCAATTCCATAACATTACAAATCGTATTATTTGCATGTCAAAAATGTGTTTTCAGCAAATTGGTGTGTGTTTAGTGGTTAATTTTGTATTTTATGCTCGATTTATTAAATTGTAACAACCCTCCGCGGGGGTGTAAAACGCGCAAGATTAAAACACGTTAAACCCTTATGAGATGCGTGCGAAGCGTGCGGAGTGATTCGAGTTTAAGTGGTTTAAATGTTCGCTCATGAAGAACCCAAGAAGTGAAATACAAGCGTCTTAAAAGTGATAAAGGGCTAATGCGTTATTATTCCCCAAGGGATTTATGTCATCATTTTCTCTCAAACTTTTACTTATATCAACTGCATTAAAATAATTTTTAAAACTTAAAAATTTGAATTTTTGACATTTTTGAACAAAATAAAGAATATTTCGCTGGGTGTTGTCGCCCAGTTTCATTTCCCCAACATAACCCCCATATGTGTGCATCGGTGCGGGTCGAGATGTGCCATGAAGGTGGAAAAAAAGAGCCGCACGACAAGATGATATCGAACTTCCATTTCGTGCGCCTCTTGCGGGACGATGCGCGACGTCGCCGAGCTAAACTAGGGTGAACCCCCCACACACAAAGCAACACACATGACGGCAGCGGCGGCGGTGGCGGCGGCTGAAAGAGAGTTAGGATGGTGGATATGGATGTGGATGCCTAGGCGGTGGCGGCACGGCGATAGGATACAAAATGAAATTCCCCTTGTGCACGACTCCTCCGTCGCGCGATATTCTTCTCGGCGAGCCTCGCATTCATGCATGTGTATAACACGCAACGCGAGCGACGCGAAATTGAAGTCCTCCGGGGGTTACACCACCACCCCCATCATGCCACCCAAATGGTGGTGGTTCTATTCCCAACGCAAATGCATTGCAACATTTTTATCGAATCGAAAATATCAAAATTCCATCGAAATATTCGAAATTTTTCGCTGGAATATTCAACGAATTGAAAAAATAAAACATTAAAGTGCGTTTTTCTTACTATTATATTTGAAGAGCATTGCGTGGCGCAGACGGAAACAAATTTATAATAGTCGCGGAGTTGGATGAGGATGAGAAGAAGGACTTCAATTTTTCATCTATAACATGCGCACACTTTTATGCACACGCCACGCATGACGTGCGCACACAAAACAACTTTCAAAGCGAGCGTCTGTCTGTCTATCTCCCTTATCACTAGTGTGGGTGTGTGTTTTTTGTGCGCGCGTTCATCTTGCGCTCATCTCGAATGGAGTTTGCGTTCGTTTTTGTGCGCGCACACACGACGCCGGTGATACGTCAGTGTATCACGCGAAGCATATCACGTTATGATTTATGCGAGTTTTTCTTTTATCAGCTTCCCGTTTTCTTTATTCATTTCTCATACGGGCGCTCGAAATCCACGCAGGTTGGCCGAACCTGGAGCATCATAAATAACGCATTGCCGAAAATTGTTTTTCAGGCTTGTGCCGCATCGACGATTCGCTTCAAGTGATTAATTCACGTTTTCTTTCAAGTTACTTTCGATAAGATAAAAAAAATAATAAACTATTGAGTTTGATATTTAAGTTTTTTTCTTTTTTTTTTTTTTTGATTGACATAGATTTGAAAATAAAATATCTGAGGATAGTGAATAGCCAGAGGGTGGTTTTTGAGGGTGTTGTTCACCCCCGATAAACGTCGCCGAGTATACATCCCGTCTGACGGCTCCACGGGATTTAGGGGAGCGTGAGGTGATCGAATTCGAGCCAATCGTCGATACTCCTGCGCCGCGCGCCCAATTTCTGTAATAGGATGTCTGCCGCGAAAAATGACGTATTGTAGAATGACCTCGGCTCACCCCCGAAAACGTCTCGCTGGTTTGGGGCGTCATTCGAACGCACATAATGCGATTGACGCAACATGCCGGAAACTTTGTGCGTTTCAGTAGAAATAATGTCAAAATATTAGCGGAAAATAAAAATATCTACAAAAAATAATCACATAAGTGAATAATTTCTTACCTCATTGAGAAGTGACAAAAATCTGTGGAGATCTGATAAAACCAGGGAGAAAATGAAAAAGACTCGGGCGTACGCAAATGACACTTTTATCTAATTTGGCAGGCGACTAAATTGGCAGCAACAAGTGTTTGCGTTCTCTTAAGTCTCTCAAACGAGCGCGTCGCTCTCGGCGGCGGCGTCGGAGGCGGCGCGACTCCGGCAATGTAACATTATGAGCGTCTAAGTGCGCGCTAAACGAGGACGAAAAAAGCCCGCGCGAGTCGGGATGAAAAACAAGGAAAAAATGAGGCGAAACGAGGGAAAAACGAAGGGGAGTCATTGTCGGCATTCGCACGACGAATAAATGAGTGCAAATTGTTCAATTTGCCAGATTAAGAGTTCCTCGTGCATACAACGATACCAACACGCGATTTACACCAATTTACCCCTTGAAAAATAAAAATATCACACAAAAAGTAAAAAATATTTTTTTTATAACAAAAAAAAAATAAATTTACCACGTCTTATCAAATATATTTTCTTTATAGTTATCAGAAATTTTCGGCCGCGCGCATCTTGAGCGCTTTATATGCAAAGTTTCGCGTTCTCGTCGCTACGCACATAAAACCTGAATTTAGTAGATACCGAAAAGCGTATAATATCATATAGCATTTACGCTCGGTCGTCTCCAGCCGCCTCCACCGCCTCCACCGCCTCCTGCGCCCGAAATGATATGGCGGTCTGATCGGAAGATGGATTGCCTCAACTATCGCGCATAGCCGCATAATAAAAATATCTACGCACTCACACTCATCCCTATCCAACCCCCAAGCGCTCAATTCACCTACACCAGTCGTCCTCATCCTTTTGCGGCGTTGTCGTATAAAATATAAAAATGATGCGTTCAACTCAATATATATATATATATATATACGCGTGCGTAAAGTGGGATGATGTTTAGGTTTAGACCCTCTCAGGACCCGTGCGAGGGTGAAAACCTAAAAACGAAAATAACGAAAAACGCACGCCAAGTCTACCATCTTATATATATTCTTATAATGTGTATGTAAACGTATCGAGAATCATTTCTCAAATTTCACTCTTCGTTGAGCCGCGTGCAGAGAAAGAAAAATTCACGATCAGTGATCAGTGATCAACAGAGCATGAAACAACAATAAGGAAACAAAATTATTTTTATCATCATGATGTCAACTTGATTATTGCTTAAGTATATTGTCTCAAGATGGTGAATTTAATATTTTCCAGAGGAGGAGGAATAATTCAATATTTGTTTTTATTAAGCGCGTTGTTGTTTTTCGTTCAATATGAAAAATGATAAAATCTTTAAACTTAAGCCCGAAGGTAAAATGGAAAAAGTCACATCCTCATATTCCCTATATTTCCATTCAAATCGCGCGAGCCACAAAGCAACCCCGTCGGCGAATATCATTCGTTATGCGAACGTACAATTTCGCATTTCGCGTGCTTCTTCGTATTCACACACGCGTCCTTGAGCTGTAGCAACGACTTGTATTACGCGAGAGCGCGCGCGCGCGCAAGATGATGAAAACGTAATCCTCTCTAGATTATTGTTGTGTGCCCGCGGAGGCGCACACGCATATGAGTTGGGATATATGTGGAAAGAGTCCTTCGAGTGCGATGAAACGACGAAACGATGCCGAACGCGATCCGGAGCAAAGAGTAAAACGAGACAATGGGAATATGAACTTTTCATAATAATATCGAGGGCGACGACAACGGTGGCGGCAACGTTTACGACACATTCACGCATTCGTCTATTAAAAACATAAACACCCCACATCAAACACCCGCTTGGAAAACAAACAAAAATTGAAATTTTTACGAGTGCGAATGAAGCTTATTGCATATTGCATGCGAGGCGGCAAAGATTATGCTCTCTCTCCTGATGCAAATCCCCTCTCGCGAGTTATTACCTTCTTATCGTTGCTTTATTATAATATGCAAATTTTCAATTTATTGAAATTGTTCTTTTCACACCTTTACACACGCCACACAAGAAAAAAAAAGAGTTAAATTTCAAAATTTAAAATTTTATATTTGAAAATTCAATTTTGTTGCTCCAGCTTCTATTTCTTTTCTTATTTTGGTGATGCGCTCGGGTTTTCCTCATGGGATACGCTTGGAAATCGAAAATATATCAAATAGTTGGTAAAACTCGCGCGCTGGTTGCACACCAAAGAAAAACCCAAACCCAGCACAGCCGAAAACCCGCCTTGCGTCTCGTTTTTCATCGTCATGCTTTATTCATTTCTCGCAGTCGTCCCCGACCGCCGCCTCCTCCGCCGAGCGCAAAGGAAATGGATTTTCGCTCAAAAAGTGCGCCACATTTCCGCAACATCCACATTTCCAATACATCTTACATCCATCCGCGCCACGCATGTTTGGTGTGTTTCATCTTTTCATCAAAAATAACATCGATATATGCGTCCACTTGAATATCAAATAATTTCAATAACAAAAAGCATTTTCACTAAAAATATATTTTTTGTTTTTTGTTGTTGTATCTATATATTTCTTGTAGATATCGGTGTTTGGATATGACAGGCGCTTAGTGTCATCCGCTGATATCCTCACACATCATCCATACGCGCGCATCGTCCTCGTCGTCTTTTTCCTTGCTGCTCCGGCGTAATCTGTGATACCGCAGCGCTCGCGAAGATCGCGGATAATAAATCATGAGCACCCGTTCTTCCTGCTCTCGGCAAGCTATCACAACTTTTAGAAACCCACCCGCATGCAAACCGCCCCACATCATCTATCAGCTTCTTCTTATTTTTCCTCTTCTCTACACGATATGTGTGCACACACATCAACCACACCTTCAAGAGTTAAATCAATCAATAACGGCGGATAATGCAAAGATGATGTGATGAATCTTGTTTGCATAACCTCACATAACCTGAAATTTTCAATTTACATCATTCGATAGTTTAATATTTGAGGATTGCGTGCGCGGCAGTACAGAGTGTGAAATAAATTCGCTTCAATGAGCAGCAATCGGGGAGACAGGTCGACGGTTCATTTACATCCAGCGAGTCAATTGACTCGACGCCGCGCCTTGTTAGCTACGCGCGAGCGGGCGCCTCCACCATTGCGCGCGCGCCCGACGTATTTATAACCGTCCAACTTTCTATCTCATCTATTTCTCTAAGCTCCGCTTTAACGCGATCACGTATCACCTAAATAAGAACCACCCGTCGAATCGAATTGCCTGCGAGCAAATAAGACGTCGACTTTATCGACTACAATTTGACAAGATCAAGATCACTATTTTCTCACATGATAAAATATTTTCTCTTAAATAAAACGAATTTTCTGCGGCACATGGAAAAATTCCCATGTGTTTATTTTTTACGGAGGTAAATATGGCAAACGTTTCAAGAGTCTCATATCAATTCTTATCCAACCGAAATATAAAACGCACGTCACCCGAGGGTAACACTATTTGTGATATAGCCACAGGCGCATTAGCCACACTTTCAGTCGCTTTCCATTTTCACCGCGTTCCCATTCACACATATCATCCTTTTTGCCATCGCCCAAGTCACCAGAGAGGAATATTTCGTTTTACATTCACTATACTACCATATTTTCATCCTGATCTTTTATAAAAAACAGAAAAAAACTCAGAAAAAAACATAAAATTTAATTCAACACTCTGTATGTGCTATGGTAATATGTTTGCTCTTCTAGCGGTTTAGTTTATGAGCTTTATGTTTGTTCATTTCACGTGTAGGTCTGGAAAATGTTTAAAAAATACAGGATGTAACAAAACTGTTTGTTTCACGCGCTTGTATTGTTCTTTAAGTTATTCCGCATCATGTTCTTCATTTTTCGCGACGTAAACTTGCGCGTTTCAAGAGCCTGTTCCTTATGTCGCGAAAGCGCTCAAGGTGGCATCGAAATAAATAGAAGATAGAAGACGCATGCATGAGTTGGCCTCGACGTTGGAGTTTTCATCCTTTTTGGAGCAAGTTTTCATCGTCAAATGTGCTCTACACCCGTATGCGTTCGTAGATTTTGCCTCGTCATGGTCGTTGTTGTTATCTTTACGGATGTCACGGCTGGTGCTCTCGCGCCTGAGCGGGCGAGGATAAAACTCGAAAAATGAACGACGAATTGAAGATCGTCAGTCATGCGCGTACGACGAAGGATGGTTGGTTCGTAGGAGGATGATGTTCTTTACGTCCTGCGCGTCTCACACGTATATTTCGCATCTTTTGCGTCTTTACGGCCTGCGCGGTTCTTATGATCCTTATGTTTCGCATGTTATGTGATGCCTTATGGCGTATGAGCATTTTGTGTATTCGTCATTTCCAAGCGCGCGCGCTATATTCCCGCATAAAAATCGTTAAAATCGTAAAAATATTGAGTGTCTCTTTGCTGGGCTTTTGTTCGAAATTCGTTTATTTCTCTGCACATTCCGGAAAGAGGACTTGAAAAACTTAACTAGCAATCATTGTACTCTCGCCGTTCTAACCGCGAAAAGGGCATATCATTAGGCGCACAACAAACGCAGGGTTGTTATTGTCGATGTCGCCGCGAGACGTAATAATAATGTCGAAAAACTAACATAACAATAACATTTTCCCATCCGCTCGCATACTACTTACTCGCGCGCATGGAAAATAAGAATATGGGTTGCTTCAAGTGTACTCGTATGTGCAGGGGGTGGGTTTGCACCCGATGCTCAAGGGTAGTTTGCGTTGTTGGCTTCGTTCGGCTATTAGGAAAACGAATACCACATTTAGAAAAATACCTACCTGGCGCGTCACGTCGTAAATGCACAAAACAAAAAATAAACATCCACAAATCCGAAAACTACTTAAAAATAAAAATACCGAGTGTGTCATTAAAAATCTTACGGAAACATTTTGTATAAAAGATAAACAAACGTCTGAGGATCTCAAAAATTCAAGTCTTTTCCACATCCGCCACCGAAAACTCGGAAATAAAAACGAATAACAAACGGAGCAGTTCATTTGGATAACAAACGTAACATACACCCACAACAGAAGAGAAGAGGATATTTGTTGCTCGGTGGCTCGTCGCTCGTCGCATTTCGCGTTTCCAAATCCTCTCCATTAGCATTCGCCCGAGATGGCTCGGGAAAATAACTATCGTCGGTGTGCTCGTCGTGTTCATACAACTCATACGAGTATTTACGTGCCGACTTATTGGGTATCACGCATGTGAGCAAAATAAAAAGGCTTTCTTAAGCAAGTACGCAAGGATTCGCGGAAAAGAGAATCCGTCTGAGGACTTTGCGATACACTCGCAAGGCGGCAGGCACGACGCGGTACAATAGGATAGAATTTTCCCGACCGAGGGATGAAAGCCAGGCACGACCGAAACGAAAGGCATCCGTGTAAACCCGCGCCGGGAAATGAAGAAAGGAGGCGCACAAGATGCGCATGCTATAGGAAATAAGGTTGTTGCGCGTAATGGGGTGGCGATCCGGGGGTTGTCTTTTGATGATGCCAATAAACCTTTGTCACACAGAGCAAGAGAATATCTTTTTGTATGTTTTTTATTTTTAAACAAATTTTACTAAAACAATAAAAGAAAAATTGATTTTTACACATTTTATAAATAGAATAATTAAAAACGTATTAAATTAGTAGGGGTGGACTACTAAGGGTTGTTTTAATAAGCCATTAAATTAGGGCTATGCCTAATTTTGTTATTTTTGTAATACTGACACAGATATTGCATTAAAACAAAAATTTCAGAATAATAAAAATGTTTATGGTGCTAATTGACAATAACTACCCCTAACCACACCATTGAAAATTAATTCATTGAACGATTAGTAACCGTATCTGAATGAACTGTTTTGCGGGCCAGTGACGACAATCGCAATCACCCCCAAAGCGCCGAAACAAGATTGATCATCATGAAGTTGCCAACCCAACGATATTTCCATTCCCACAAGACCAACTCAACTTTAGCCATCTAACCAGTGACATCATTTATTTTCCGCACTGCACCCTGCACTGTATTTACCATTAACCATCCGCTCACAATAGAAATAGTTTGTGCGACGTATGCAAAATCCACGAGTTGATTTCGTGCATCGAACGCACGAAGAAAACGAGGGATGTCTATGTATGTCTATGACGATGACGAAAAATAAGATGAGGGGTTGTGTGTGGAAGATGTGGAAGAAGCAAGGTGGTATTGTGCGTGAGCAGAGTGTAGCCGAGGATCAACCCTCCAGAACCCTCCAGAGCTCGCCCGCGCGGAATTGCAAATCGAAAATGTATTTTTATACATTTTCGGGATGGATGTCTCGCGTGCGCGTGCATGTGACGCGTGTAAATCAATATCCGACGCGATACAAATTGTCAATGCTCGCACAAGCATCCAATTCCAAACTCACACATACATTCACATATTGAAGAAAATAAAGACGAAAAATACATGCGAGCAAGTCTTCGATTCAAAACAACAATAAAGTATCTTACATCTAAATTTTAGACCTGAATAAAATATCCACTGTAAATTTCAATGTTTTTGAAATATGACGAAAGTAGAAAAATGATTGAATCAAAAATGACGTGCAATTTTTTTGAAAAATTGTTGCCACAAACCGAAAATAACTGCAAACATGCCAATACTCGTTGAACTTCCAACTCCGAAACGGCATTTTCCGTGAACGATGCGCTCGGCTTGCATGCCTGGATGCAGTTTAAAATTTTAGAGAAAATGCACGCGGCCGGGCGCGCATGCAATTTCGACATTCATCACATTTCTCCACACGGTTCGCAGTGTTTTCCTGGCATGAATAAATAAAAGCGTGATAATTCACGCAAATACAAACAGTTCACGTGCGCACTCGCCGCACAAAACATTCAAATCAAAACATGAAACTAAACTCTAAATATCATCCGCACAGCGAGTATAAATAGTTAAATTTCATTGAAAAAGTCATGAATAACCGTCTCACAACTCACATTGCGGTTTAAGTTGGCCGGAGGCAACAAACCCATCCATTGCTGGACGAATCGTAATGATTGACAAGAAAATTAATCGATTACGAAATTCTTTATAAATAATAAATGGTGCGCATGAAGAAAAAAGGCGCACGCTTCCAATATGGCCACATGGTCAGCCACGGGCCAGTCTACTGGACGCTAAACTATTGGTTTCCATTTTGCCCTTTTTTACATGGCGTGTATACGGAATACACGAATTGGTATAATGCGAGATAATTGAAGCGTGCGCCTTTAAGAAGCCGCAATAAACTTTAGAAATATACAAAGTGTAACAAAAATAATCAAAAAAATCAAAATTTTCAATAATTTTATTTAAAAAATTTTAATTTATTGAATTTTATGTTGGTTTATTAAATTTTAACAAATAAAAATTAATTTTATTTGCTTCTTAAAGCGATTATTAGTCTAGAATTAATAAAAACCATTCTATTGTTCATTGAAACCACCGTCGAGGTAATTACTCATTTCCTTTACCTTTCGGCAGCGATAATAACTCTATAGTTATCAACTCTTCTTCGCCACTACGCATAAACGAAATTACTTAATTGATTTTCTTTTCTTTGTTCGAATACCTGTCAACCTCACAAACATACCCAGCGAAAAGAAAAGAAGAATACGAAAAAAGTCAATAAATAACTCCGCTTCCTTCACTATCTCTAGAATTGTGTATTGTTCGGTAGCAAATTGTAAAATTGCCTAGGGTGGTCGCAATAGTCCTGCTACAGTAGTTGGGGTGTATCACCCCCGATTGGACGAATTGCGATTGGGCGAAACTCCCAAATATCGGACACTTCCGTCATGCAAGCAATCTTCAAACACGATGCACTATCGCAGGGTCGATATTCTCGATACACTGTGTCGATTCAGCCATATTTCGTGTATGACAACGCCACCCTCGCCT